TATTGGACTTGGCGAGAAGTGTTAAGAGCAGACTAAGCTAAGGAATAAAAAGAGGATTTGGATGCTTATCTTCCTTCCTACACCTAACTTGGCTATCGCTTGTCAGCTTCAGTCCCTGTTGAATCGGTTCTATCCGTTGATTTCTGGTTCCACCCTAGGATTCTTCCTTCAGCCCGAAAAGCCAAGCCACTGATGCTACTGCTGCTAAATCAGCCGATGGAGTGCAACGTTACCGGGTCATTCTGTCGGTTTTAAGAGCCTTCGGCAACCGGCAAAGAAAGACCGTTCTGAGTAGCAGTAACAACGCTCATAGCAAGCAAGAAAGATGGGGTAAATGGGCCGGAAAGACAAGTTTATAGAGTCGGAGAGCTAGTAGAGCTCATAGGTTTCTACCTGTGACTAACTTAGTGTGCTTTTGGTAGCTGCTGCCATACCAACAATCTATTTTTCGTAAATAAGCACTAGCATTACGGTGCGAGATCTGCCAAGCTAAGCTCAATCACAACCCACCGGCTCAAACAAAGGCTGGATCGGTTCACTGAACGCCAACAAAATATAGCAAGTCCTCTAGCAAGCCAATTCCTTTCTTCATCGCCTTCGACAGCTAATCACTATCGTACTCTCGGTACTTACTATTTGAGTACTGGTATTGGATTCTCCTTCAGCGGAAAGATGGAATTGACCATGCACACTGACTCCTATTCAAGATATGGATACTAGACTGTCCTGCATATGAGACGGATTGTTCTTCTAGCCTACATCGACGGGACTCAACTCCTTACTCTCTTCCTTCTATACCTATTTGAAAGTCAGGAATAGCAGACTTGTTCACCTATTTCCTTACTAGAGCAGATACTTGAGGACATAATGCAGCCCGTGTTACTGGTGTGTGAAAGGATAAGCGGTAGTGCCCCACACCCGTGATGCACTTCCTTGCTTTCAGGTATATCTCCAGATAGATAGGGTTTTCTCTCTTGTTTAGTGCTTCTCACTCTTTCCTCTCAAACGGCGATACCTTAGCAGCATTTGGCCCATCCCAGAGTGAAACTCCCTAACCAGATTCCGAAACTAAACGAAGAAGAACTCCTAAACGCAGAAAAGACACCTGCGACTGCAGCTACTTACTTGGCTTTCATCCCTCCTTATACTTATTCATGAGGCTTCACTTGGCATAGATGCCAGGGCCTTGTTCTGACTTCCGAGACTCATCTATCCTATTACTGAGAAAATTCCCTACTTGGAGTGAGAATCCCTTTATCCCGAAGCAGCGGCAGAAGCGGTTTGATCTCTTACCTTTTGCTCATATCCCAGAGACTCGTCTGCAGTTAGTTTCTCATTCGAATATGAATAATCAACAAGGGCACCTTCTCTCTTTACCTTTACTGGCTTTAATGACACTGCAGGGGACGCAGCAACAGACTCTTTCCCCTCAATCGCCGGGGGCTATTATCCGCTCACTCCCTTGCTTTCAGAGAACTCCCCCAGTTATAGATAGATAGTCAAAAGGGGCTTTCTTACTCACAGGATTTCAGGATACTCGTTAATGCCTCACTCCCTTCTTCTACTTCTGACATTCTACTTGAAAGTCTGATATCCGATAAACTAGGTTTAGCTTGAATGTCTTAGTTCACATACTCTACGGGATTTCTTCTTTACTAGAACTCTTTTCTCATGACGTGGTTGGGAACGTTGTGTCATCTGTTCGTTTCGATTCAAAAAGTTTAACTTCGAACTAACCGGGAAAGCAGAAGCGGAACATACTTATATAATTAAGGTACTTCCTTACTTAGAGTGAGAATACTCTTTATATGGCACTTATCCCATCCGAGTACTTACTTGACTTACTTTACTGAAACAGCCTAAGCACCTTTCCCCGGGATTCTTCATAAAACCAGCTTCAGCAGCAAAGACTTCTACTTGAGGACAGTCTACCTTTGGTGGTGTGAGATGCTATTCTTTTATACGGTGGTGTGAGATGTCATTAGACTTTATCATATTCATTTGAATTGAGCGTATTGTAAGACTAATATGGCAAGTCAACCGAGCGTGGGGAACGAACGAGCGTGGGGGTGAGATGCATGCAATTGAAGCAGCTACCTGAAAAGCTGGGTTTGATTCCCTTAGATACCTTTGGGTTTAGCCTTGAGGAAAGACAGCATATACCAAGAAAGAAGAGGTTGGAGGGCTTGACAGAGATGCGCGGGATGCTCCGGAATGAGCCTCAACAGAAAAGAAGGAAACTTCCCTATCTAGTTCAAGTCCTAAAACAACGGATATTGGAGAAGCTGAACGAGAAGAAATAGCCATATCCCTAGGGGCACCTTCGATCGATACTGCCTTAGACCCTGCCCTTGGTCCTAAACCTGCTTACGCTGGAGAAGCCCTTACTTCTTCAGCTTGAAAGACATCTCAGGAAAGAGCTACTTCAACTGAAGAAATTTATTTAGTAGCGAGAACCCTTCCTACTCGAGAATAAGGTCAGGAAGTGAAGCGTTTTTTCAGTTTTTCTTGAAAAATATAGTAAGTGTTATGCGGGGGTGGGGATTCAGACCGATGAGGGGCGTAGGAATTGCCCTTAACTGTCCGGAAGGCTGAAATAGCTTTCTCGGGAGCCTCCGGGAGGTCGGGGTATTCAATCCCAGGATACTCAAGGAGCAGGGCGTCGTATCCCAGGGGTTCTACTAATACATCGTATAGCGGGTCCAGGCTTGAAGTTCTACCAAAAATGGAATGGGACAGTCATTCGAAAATGAGAAAATAAAATCAGGGTGTCAAGACATCTATATGACCAAGATGGCCATCTCACGAATTGGATTCGAACCAATATCAAGCTACTTTCCTTTAGTAGATCTGTCATCCCCCTCATTATAGTCCTCCTAGAATCAATAGCATTTCGTCGGAATACATCCTGTCTTTTCACCTTAGTAGTCCTATGCATAGTCAGTACTATAGCCCCAATCATGGCTACTAATAAAATCAGACTAGGAACCAAAAACCAGACGGAATAGTAGGTATAAAGTAAATTGCCCAATGTTTCCAAATTAGTCCAACTTCGTACCTTTCCGGCATAAACCATATATCTCAGAGAGGTCGTATTTCTTTGGGTTGGTAGTAATGGAATGCTTTCATTATCTAAAATGAAGAACATTTCCCACCAAAAGATCAGTCCAATAATACCACTCACTGGTAAATAGCGCAATACTTCTTCGTGAATCTCCGCTATTTGAATATGGAACATCATAACAACGAATAGGAATGAAACGGCTATAGCTCCTATATGAACTACTGGGAAGATCATAGCGAAAAAGTCGAGACCTAACAAAAGAAGTAAACCTGAAGTGTTGCGAAAGACTGGGATGGGAAACAAAACGGAATGTACCGGATTTTTAGCACGTACAACCATCAAACCAGAGACCAAAGCAAGGCTCGACAAAACAGAAAGTATCATAGTACGTCGTCCTTCCCTGAAATGGAACTTTCATGCTGGAGCAAGAACTAGCATGAAAGTCGATCTATTACAACCAGCGCGGTTGTTCGTATTTCATTTTCTTCTTCCAAGCCCTTCTTTCTTAGCACTGAGTTACTTACGGAATCTCAAATCTCTCTCGCTTCTTCAGCTTGTTCCTGTTCGTCTATTCGGGACGGGGCAGGCAGCCCACATACATGAAGAGAAGAATAGAGAGGGGGTTATCCTGCTTAAACTTGGGAAGTTTACTACTGGAAATTGGGAAGGGCTATAAGTAGGCCGTTTGCTATTGCTATAAGGGCTGCTCGCCTTTATACGGCTTGGCTTCGCTATCGCTTCTATGTAGTGTAGTGGTCGACCTAAAAAGTCGTATTCCTGCCATGCCTATTATCCAGTGCTAGAAGCTTCGCCAGAAGCAAGCAAGACGAGGTCGCTCTGCTTCGTAGACAAGGCTCGTTCCGTACTTGACTTACGAGCTCGTGTAGTACTCGCCCCTATCTCTTCTCTAAAGGGGCGCACACTCGCTGTCTACTAAATGAGCTCACGAAGCGATCTGGGAGCGAAGCCTTCAATTTAGTTGCTTCCCCCCTTTTCTTTTCCCTCACCCTACCCTTTCATTTCCGCTTAAGCTTCCCCGGTTTGGGGGATTAATTGATTGGATACCCGAGAACCATAATCTTTCCTAGGAACAGCTTCTACGACGATAGATAGGGGTCAGGTTTGTTTGGCATCTATGCCCCCTGCCCTCCAAACAGTATGGGAGCCTTTCAGCTCGTACTGCTCACACTCCTAGATCTTCACGGCACCTCCTCCACCATAGTGTGAGCTGGGAGCAGCTCCGAAAAGCGAGGCCTACTTAAATAAGTAATGAGCTTTCAACAACGTTAACAACACTACGAAAAAAGTAAACTATGGTTGCCCACTGATCTGATCATAGGTGAAATCCAACCCCTTCTCTGCTCCTTTCCTGACCCTTTCTAAGCTCTTGGATCCTGCCCTGCGCCTCTCTAGGCTTCGCTATCGCTCATGACTGGTATATGGATCTCTCTATGTAGTGGTCGGCCTTCTAGAAGCTTCGCCAGAAGCGACTAGTCGCTTCCCGAATGCCCCTTTCCTTCGCTACTAGGAGAGTCGCTAGCTTGCTTCATTATATTCTATAAGCGGAGCGACTTGTCGAGTCTACGAAGCTTCGTAGTTGCTTCCCCCCCCCTTTTTTCTTTTGCCCCGCCATGCCACTAGATCCATAATGACCGGCGAGTCGGAACATGTATGAATATAACCACGCGGAGCGCCGTACCGGCCTATCGAACGAAGCGAAGAAAGAGATCATTGAGCCTATTTAGCCGAGCGGAACCCTTTTCAAATAATATATATATATATAAAATAATAAGCTAAGGGGGCTGGGAATCGCAAGAATTGAAAAGTCCTCCATTGAATGGGATGAGAAAGACAGGTTCGGAAATGGCCGGATTAGCAGGAGGAAGGGCGGCCCCACCCTGAAACAAAGGTGTACGTACATAAATAAAGAGACTGGTTATGGCCTTGATAGGGCTCCTTCCCATCTATCTTGACCGGGAAGAGGGGGGAGGCTCTTGCGGAAGCCCTGCCCGCCCTTCTCTATTCTATTTTTAGGATCCCTCTGAGGAGGCTTTCCGGACTCGTAAAAGACGGCTAGGAACAAGAATAGGGTCAGTAGTCTCTGCCGTTGCAGGTCCTTCTCCTTCCGCTGAGATGGCCCTCTTTTTTGTTTTGTTTGTTCACCGCGGCACGAAATCATGAAGAAGCTGGAATAACTCAGAAAGAGAGTGGCGCCTAGCCGTTGAGAGCGTCTGTTGTCTTTGTAGAGGAACAGTACGATCTTGGACTGGCCCCCTTCGCATGACCTAGAAATAAAAAGAAGTCCGTGCTACTATAAGGCCTCTAAACTCCTCCCTCAGGACACTGTTGCGTTGCCCATGGGGACGGGCTAGCCCCGACTTCCATAGGTCCTTGGTTCGACCTCCTAATGAGAATTGAGGTCCTTGCGCGGGCGTCTCATCCCTAAGACTTGTTTGCTCTGTATGGAGTGCCCCGTGGTTCCTCGAGTGCCAGCCGCAGAGAGGAATGCCATCAACTAGGGCGCTATTGGCCACTAACCACTCGCTCGCCGGACGCTCGGGCTCCGCGTTTCAAGTTCGTTATCCTAACCGTATCCTCTGCTCCACCGGGAGCCTGACCCCTTCTTCTATCTTATCTACTGCCTTGCTCCTCGGCTCCATACTGCTCCAGCCGCTCGCTGTAATAGCTTGCTTCTCGGGTGGCTCGCACCCTGGGTGGTGCGGCTGAGCCAGAGTGGGCTCAGCAGTCGGCCTATCTTTCCGGGCGCACGCATAAAGGCATGATTAGTTCCACAAATCTCACTGCACTGACCATAGTAAACTCCTTCTCGTTGTACCGAAATAGAGGTTTGATTTAAACGACCAGGTACAGCATCACATTTTACACCTGGGGAAGGTACAGCCCAACTATGAAGTACATCAGCAGATGTTACAATAATACGTAGATGACTTTTGGCTGGTACAACCACTCGATTGTCCACTTCTAATAAACGTAATTGACCCAATTCTAGATCATCTTCTGGAATCGTATAACTGTCAAAAGTGAGTGACTGTTCATCGGAACTGTTATAGTCCGAATACTCATAAGGTTGGGTCGACGCCCGTCTCCCCCCAAACTGTACTTGCAAGTTTCCCCGCAAAAAGCTCTCCACGCCTACTCTTAGAAAGAAGACTCTTTTTCTTTAGTTAGTACCGACCGTAAGACCCTTTATGAGTAAGGGGAATCGAAGGCCGGGGAAAGTTTATTGGCAACAGGGAACCCTTTCTCACCCAGTCCTACCTACCCTATGTATTCAAGGGGGGGGGCTGGAACCGAAAAAGACCTGGTTCCACACATATGAGACAGGCAGAAGGTATGGGACGACCAGTTCACCATGGAAAGCGAATTCGATCCTATAGTCGTCTTCTTTGTTCGAGAAATGCGCAGTGGAAAGGGATGCTAGTCGGCTCGGAGAAGTTGTAGGCCCCAATAAAAAATATCAAGATTCCTCACCTATCCTGTCAGGGGCCCAGTTGAACGCTCGAGTATAGATTCCCTATGCTCATCGGCCGGGGCCGGCCGGCCCGTAGATCTGGATCCATCCATAGACCTGACCTGATATCGTTTGTCCAAAAAGAAAAAAAAAGTTGGTTTTTAGTAGTAGTTCATGATACCTCGAATTCCCACGTTCCAGCTTGCATTATGCCAACAAGTCCCACCCCCAACTCTAGCTGAGAAGTTGAGTCACCCTTCTTTTTTTTCAGAAAAAGAATCGAATAAAGAAAGAGATAGTCTATATCCTGTATCGATCATAGGATCACTCTATGAATAGGTAAATTCTCTGTGACCTCCCACCGTTCACGACATCCCTTGCTTCTCGCTGCGAACGGCTCCTCGGTGGAAGAGTAGAAGCGCTGGTCCCCTTCGGTCAAGTTGCTTGTACCTGCTGTTACCTACCGTAGGACCTCCGTCCCCGAAGCGAAGAAAGAGGAGCAGGAACAAGAGGTTGTCCTCTCCCGGCCCAGTAGTTCCGCAACTACTACCGTGGTTGTTGCCAACGGGGATCCCCCATTCCGAAAGGTTACTGGGCCGGCCGTTAGGTCCAAAGTTGTATGCCACAGCTATGGTGCCGATAGATTCACTACTTCAGCGCCGTTATCGGACATTTCAGGCTGAGCATCTATTTCTCGTATATCGCTCCACACCGAGAAGAGGGATGTGTACCTCCAGCAACAACAAGATGGAACCATAGGCTTCTATGCTGGGAGCATTTCGGGGTCTAGGTCTAACCATCTCAACTCCCCGTTTCTGGCATGCTATAGTTATTTAAGTCTCTCGACGGCGGGAATGGGAGATTACCGGTAAGCCAGATGCTTCGCGAACCATATTCTTAAGGCATTTCGTTGCACTTAAATCACCCTCGTGAAGAGGCGCACTCCGATACCATTGATGTCCAATAGCTTTGATAGTAATGGCTGGATTTACTACTACCTCGTCCATTGAGTATAAGAGAGCAAATGATGGTATAGCAATGAACATCGGGATGATACTAGGAAATATGGTCCGAAGAATCTCGATAGTAGTTCCATGAACAATCCTTTGCGGGATTGGATTTTTTTCTTTTTGGAAATGCCATAAAGCGCGAACCAAGATCCGTGAGACGAAAACCAAAATAAGAATGAGGAAGAAAAAGATATCGTGATGTAAGTCTATTATTCCTTGCATCATAGGTGTTGCTGCGTCTTGAGATCCTAATTGCCATGGTTCCGCTGCATCACAAGGAGCAATTGTGAGAAATAGCCATTCTAGAACAATCATTTGATCTGTTTCATTCTTTGACTGCTCTGCTCCCCCAAAAAAATGGAGAGACTTGTTCTTGCTCTTCCAATTAAGGAAGACGGATTTCGCCGGTTGGTCCAACCAAGAAAGACATGGGAATTTTGGGCGTCAGATTCTTCTTCTTCTCTTACTTACGATATTTCGAGTTGGATGAACAGATCGCTCCTAAAAGCAAGCAGCCGTGTGATCTTATATACGATACCACCAGACGCGCCCCAGTTTCAAGCGAGCTCACCCTATGGACCTTGCTGAACTAGATTCCCTGCTAGCGAGAGCGGCTTAGAAAGATAAAGGAGCACAAACAAGGGTTGTTTGAAAATGAACAGATAAGCTAACGCACTACTTATTTTCTGCCTACTTGCAATGCAACTACTCCTGAGAAAGACTCAAACTGAACTAGTTGAAGCTAAGGGCCTGCCTTCCCAGCTACTGAGGTAAGGGGCAAAGGATCCACTTGATTCATCACTTTTTTCATAACCATTAGATAGAGAGAGAATCCCACCCGGCCTAGCTATAGCTATCGTAATGCGTCTCGATGCCAAAGCTTCCTGAACCAACTGAAGCAAGGAATATGAGTAGAAGAGCGCTAGCATCCCTTGCTCTCTATCGATTGCTCACCGCCGTCTCATCCAAAGGAATAGAACTGGAGGGCGAACTTCCCATCTGTTCCCGTCTCAATGTGACCATTGATAGCTTTCTCTATTGAAATGTAATCCAGTTCCGGCTTGCTGTTCAAAGGGTAAAAGGACAGAGGAAAAGGAATAGGTTAGAGACAGAGGTTAGGGACGATTACGAGTGCCTGTTCTGGTTCTTATGAGTAGGAGAAGAGGAGATTAGTAGCCCGAGTGAGAACTCCCAAGCCGAATCTGTGCTATTTCAGTAGTCTTGGTAAATATCCTTTCTCCCTTCCTAACCTAACCTTCTGTTTCCCGCGGGCTAGGCAGCTATTTTCTTTCTTTTTTATTTATGATCTTTCTTATTTACCTTTAAGGCATCCTATTCTCCGTTTTGAGTTTCTTTTGGAATCGTCTTCTTTTCAAAAAGATCTTCTCCCTTGTTCTTCCCTCTTCCTATGATCTTGACCTGCAAAGTTATTTCCGAAAGCTCCCACTATGACTAAAAAGCTCCCAATAGGCCACCCGCTTATATTATAATAAAGTAAGTAGGAAGGAGCGAAAGCTACTCGACCAGACGGGAGAGGCGACCAAAGGAAGCTGGTTCACCTTCTCTCCTCCGTTACAACATAGGTCGTTCCAATCCCGGATGAAAATATTCCAAAACTTAAGTCAAGGAGAAAGGTCCAATTAAAATGCTTAGGACTAGAAAGAAATATGATCCTATCTACAGGAACTCTTCATCATAGATCGGAGAGCTCATTTGATATATCACGAATGCAGTGATCAAGCATCAGGCGGAATGTATTGCTACCTCTTCCTCCCTCCACCATTCTATAAGCAAATGCTTGCGGGTAGGATTTCTCTCCAGAACCATCTTTCTTATGCAATTCGAGGAGAAGCGAGTAAACTTGCCTGCACCCTAATTCTTGGTAGAGTTATCAAAGAACTCCCTCGCTTGGCACAACAGCAAAGAGAACTACAATTCCAACTGGATCCAATGAGAAGAGAATTCGAACACCAACCCTTAAGACTGTAATTGGCTTGCTAGTCTTTTCCCTTGCGCTTGATAACTCTTCTGACAAGGAGTCCGCAATTGGAGGAGGGGCGAATGGAAGTACTTCACACTGAACACTCGCTTACGAAATGGAACAGAACTCTCAGGATTCGAGAAGGACTAGGCAGGCTCTTTAGGGCGATTATCCTCTTCCTTAGACATAAAGTTAGACCCACTAGGTAAATAAAGGAATTACCAAGGTAAGACACATATCGCAATATTACATCTACCTTTGCCTTACCCACAGAAAGCCTTCGCACAGATTTCCTTCCAACGTTTTTAGCAAAGGCCCGGAGAGAAAGCATAATCTAGTTAGTAGTCCTACAGAAGCCAGAATCAATCCTATAGATTAGAAACTGTAACCTATAATCTTGATGCACTCTAATACCTAAAATATTATATGCATATCCTCACCAGGGAATATGCGCAGAAAAAAGCACCTTTTTTCACTTTATCACTGGATTGCGAACTTACTTATCCTTTTGATGAGAATGCCACTACTCTTACTTACTATCTTCAAACCCGCCTATTGGCGTGTCTGGATCAGGTGAATCGCTTGGCTAGATATCTCCTTAAGCGAGATATCGTTAACTCCTTAGTTCCTTAGAAAAGGATAATAAGGGAGAAGAAAAACCCTAGCTTTCTGTCGATCCTCCAACTTGCGTCAGATCCTTTTGCCCCTTACTCTGCTGGATTGAAAGCGGATGCAAGAGAACTATCAATGGCTGCAAGTAGAACTGCCATGGAACTATATGGATAGCAACTCCCACCGGATGGAGATATCTTAACTTTGATTTCAAGCCTCTGTCTTTCGCTTGCCTAAGGTTAAGGTAAGAAAAAGAGACAGCTACTGGACACTACGGGGACTGTAAGCGATCTAACAGAACTGGCTTGTTGAACGGAACTCAGACTAGAGATATCAAATGACCTAGGGGACTGGACCTCTAGATGTAGCACTGGATGTAAGAAAAAACTCGACTGCCAAAGCAGCACTTAGCACTCCAACTAATGGCCTTAAGACTGTTGCAATTGGTACAACTGCTTCAATGGGATAGAAGGAAACTGGCTAAAAGGGATTAGAAATGGACTAGTAAGAGACTCCAATGTAACCTAAAACTAAAATTGGAACCCTAGGAGGGGCAACTTCCACTCTTTTTTTCACTCTTTCCATTGTCGTTTACTTTACGAAGCGAAGGAAATCTAAAGGTATGCCCATTTTATCGAGGAGAGGAATTACTAGCTCGCAGGCTTAAAAATGAGAACTTCCTTCCTTGCCCTCGAACCGACTATCCAACGACATGGAACACTTAGCATTGGCCTATCACTCAAATTCAATTTTATAGCACGCCAACAGGAGGGGCTTCTCTTTTTTCTCCCACTAGATAGCTAGCAGAAAGAATGGCAGGACGAAAGAAAGGCTTAGGATAGCGGGAGAGGGTGAATGAAAGGAAAACAACTCAAACTTCTGGCTCGCAAGAAAGGCGAATAACTGCAACTGAATCGACATAGACGGACTTCTAAACTTAGCACAGCGCTTACCTTATAACTTGACTTGGGAGGGGACCCAGCCCTCTAACGTTGCGTGAGGGGTGCAACGGGATGATCTCATGGGGCTGATTTATTAGAGAATGATGTTAAGTAGCCCTCCAACCATCGGCATACCCTGGCCCGTCAGGGTGCTTCTAACACCTTATCGCGTCAATTGAAGTCCACCTTATTGTTGATGAGGCCATTCGATCAATCGGCTCAACCGGATGCGGAAGGGTGGCGGTTTACGATCCTATCTCAACTTTACCTTACCCCCTCCCACCTTCCCTTTTCGCTTCGTATACTCCCCTTTCTTTCAAAGGAATCCCTTTCTTCTCGACCGGATGGGAGGCCTTACCTGGTGAACAGCCTTCCTTACCTTAGGCTTTACGAGGACTCCTTTTTTTACTTCTCCTTTTAGGCAGTTCTCTCTCTCTTTCTCGACTTGCAACTCACTTTTCCCTTTATTCCGCTTCGAAAGGGGTGCGAACGCTAGGTTTTGGTCAGCGGCTTTCCTCAGCCTCAGAGCCGACAAAAGCTTTTTTCTTGATTTAGGAGCGAAAGAAGATGGATCCGTTTAAGAAGAATAAGCAGCTATTTTATCCACTATAGTTCGACTCGAAAGGTCTTTCAGTGACCGAGTTCAGTGACCAAGGCTAGGCAACAACTCACTAGTCGAAAAAGACGCAGCTAGTCTTGGGATCAAGGCTTCTTTCCTTTGCTGAATCAGGAATAGCCGACTCCAGGTAAATGCTTTTCCCAGCTCAAAGGCGATGACTAGTAGATTCGGGGGTACCTATAAAGCGAACAAATGTTCCCATGGTCATGATTGTTGACTAAACTGCCCTTTCTCTGATTCCCCTTGCCGACTCTGAACTAACTCATGCTTGAATGTGAACAACCGATAGAAAGCAGCATTCTACTAATTGGATTACCTTCTTCCCTTCCTTATAGTAGGAATTTCTCTCTCGAACCCTAGAACCTTTGGGCTAGGAACCCGAGAAAAGCGAATGTTCAAAGCTTTCAGCGGGCTAGAGTCGTCTTCTTGCTGTTGTTGAATATGAAGTTGTGATCAGCTTAGCAGTAAAGAGCTCTTGTTTAGCGAGAGTCGTATTCGGATTCTGCTTGAGCGGCCTTCTCTCTCTGAGTTACGGCAAAGGTAGTTCGGTAAGCCTCGTCATCTAGTATGACCAAAGCATTAGCCCTGTCTCTA